AAGAATGCAAAAGAAAATGCAAAGAAGAAATGGATTGGATTTTTTCAAAAATTTTTTTAACTTATACCCTTTTGTGCACACTTGTGCCGTATACATGTTATGTAATGATGCTTCTATGCTAATGCTTAAAATACAAATTTATTTTTACTTTCAAGAAATTAATCTATGCGCATTGATCAATGACATGGATTGTTAGCCTTTAGCCCTGTCGAATTCAGTGTTGCTTCTTGAACCTGAGGTTTGTGTAGTTCAGCCCTCTTGCTTGTACCGGATGTGATATATTAGCCCTTAGATCAGGTGTACCTAGACTCTACTCTAGGACACCTCCAACTTTTCCTTGTGAGTGTTCACTGTGCATATTTCGTGTATCTCTCAATTTTATCTTAAAGTCAGATAGGTCAAGAAGAAAGAAAAGAAGGGGATATATACATATATTTTTGCAAAATTTTTGTTAGAAAGGATTTTTTCAAAAATGGTTTTTAGAAGAATGGTTGGCCGAGGTAGGCTAGTGGTTTAGGCTGATGAACAAGCACATCCAAAATGAGGAAATTATTTTTTGCATTAGCTCGTTATTTTCTTCAAGTTAAGTGATGACTTGGGATTGCATATTGATTAAATGATCTTCCCGAGTCGCCTTCCGATTTTCAGCTCGGGATGCTGCTTTGTCCTAACTTTTTCCTAGGTTACTTGGGATGGGGTCCCTTGCGGACCTTTTTTTTTATCCTCACTTTTGCCTAGGCTACCCTTTTTGTTTGTGGGTCTCCTAGTGGACCTTGCCCTAATTTTTGCGCTACCCTCTCAGTGGATTTCTTGTCGAGCTTTGGTGTTTGCAGCATTTGTGATCATCTTTCATTCCTTCATTAAAGGGGGATGCCCTTGCACTGATTTCATTTGGACTTTTATCCATAAGTCATGCCAAATTTGATTGATCTTTATGTGTTTTTTATTACGTATGAAGTCATTGTTTCTAATGTCGTCCATATTTCAAATGTACTTGTTCATTTAAGGTTTGTTGATGA